GTGGAACAGCTTTCCTCCAGAAGTTGTGAATGCTCCAACACTGGAAGTCTTTAAGAAGATGTTGGATAGCCATTTGGCTGAAATGGTATAGGGTTTCCTGCCTAGGCAAGGGGTTGGACTAGAAGACCTCCAAGGTCCCTTCCAACTCTTATATTGTATTGTAAATAAATTTACAAGGCTGAGAGCCATATCTATATTACGTGTTAAGAATAGCATGTTTTTTTAACCTTTTCCAAATCTTTGTGAACTTTGCATTAATGACTAAGTAATACTTTCCAAATATTCAGCTCTAAGATACAGTTCAGAATAAAAGGTAATTATTTCTCCTTGTCCAGTAGTATCTGACTTTAGGGAGTGGTGCTCATCTCTGTTTCTTAGCCAAAACAACTAGTGTTGTCTGAGGACATTTCTGTAGTCATGTGGCTAGTATGACTATGTGCCAAGATGCATGGGATGCTCTTTTCTTCCCACCAAAGTTGTACTTATTTATCTACTTGCACATCCATGTTTTGAATTGCTAGATGGGCAGAAGCTGAAGAAAATAATGGGAACTCACCCCATCACGTGGCACTCAGATCTCAAACCTGGGCTGTCAGCTTTCCAGCTGATAAGCTCAGTGCCTCTAACCACTGAACTATTGTACCCCCTATAACAGCTCACAATTTTTTTCCTATTAATGTAGGAAAATGTAAGCTAATAAATGAGATGAAATTATCTAGAAAACTTCATGAAGCAGGTCTTATTTAAAAAAAAAAATAGTGATCTCCAGCACTGCAGAATCTAGAACTGTCTACATGGTCAGCACAAGACTGAATAATAAACTTTTGCTAATTACTTTTGTTGACTAATTTACTCCAACATTTAAACTTAGGATTCTGAAAGTTTGATTTCATGTTTCCAAAAGATACAAAAAAGTTAGCAATCATCCAAGGACGTAAGACTTCTGGAGGAAAAAAATGATCTTCACCTTAAGTTGATAGTATTAATAAATGTTATTGTCTTTATTTTTAATAAACCTGCTTCTATAAACAGGGTTGAATTGAATATATAGCAGTCCACTTCAAACAATTTTCTTCAAAAAATTGACTCTGCTGTCCTCTAAGTGGCTGTTATGGACTCTGTTCCAAATTCACCATCATACAAAATGTGAGCTAGGTATTTAGCGACAAAAAGCTTATTTGCAGCTGGGGTGCAAATAGGCACTTCTATTGTACAAAGAAATGACATCTAACTGCAATGCTTTGGGGAACATTGTATGCAACAAAAGTAACTGCCTGTGGAGTGAAAAATCACCCCAGATATTTAAAGCATGCCACTGCTCTATTTACTGCCAGTTAACTATACAGGTTAGCTTTCTTAATCTTTGAGAAAAAATATAATCTTTGTTTTTCCAAAATATATTTGCAAAACTTGTTTTCTTTAATAAAATGTTAAGATTTAGACTGCCCTCCTTAGAACTCCCTATTGAATGAGAGAGAATTACTATTTCTCACCATAGAAAAATTGCATTATGCATATTTTTGGTGGATGAAGTTCCATTTTAATTAAACACTCAATATTAAATATAAAATTTAATTCAGATGTGACAAGTACACATTCTCACTAAATGCTTCTTGAAAGGGCCTAAAGAGAAAATACCTGGCTAAATTACATCTTATTTTCAGACAAATATTGTCATAGGATTTATAGATAAGACTAAGTAAAGAATAGTGAATTGTAGTGGCTTTATGTTTATCCATAGTTTGTATTCAGGCATGTTCCTCAACCATATGTTTTCTGAATCCAGCCAATATATGAACAGATATCTGTCATACATTTTACAGACTGTGTTTAATAGATTGACTGGATGATAATTAGCAGCATTGTCTCTGTTGTTCTTCTGAATATCCTGATCTGGATGGTTTATGATAATAGATTCCAGATATAAAAAGTGAATAGACTTCAAATCTATTTAAAATATTTTAATTATGTTATATTTAGTATCTCATACATATTTACATGGGATTATTTCCTACTTCCTCAATAGGACTTCATTTAGAACAGGTATATGCAAGATTGTGCTGCAAGAATTATGATTCTTGTGATACTTTTATTCACCAGCTCTCTCTTCTTTATTTTTATTTTAAAAGGAAAAGTTTTCAGGAATTCCTTAAGTAACATCTTACAAAATTTCATGAAACATTTGCAAAATTGTTGATTTCTAGGAAGAAACTGTGAACTGAAGATAGTGTCACTAAAAATGGAACTGATAATTGCGGTAAAATCAATATCTACAGAATAGATTGGATTTTCCTAATTCCTTTCTGGACAAGGACAAGATTTGAGATTGCCCACAAGTGTTTTGAGCAGTTGCTCTTCATAAAGAGATTGCTAGACATTGTCTCCAGCAGGTTTAGAGCTCTGGGAGTTGAGGGAATGCCATCTTTCATCGAACGGTGGTTGGCACCTTTATGGATACAGTGCTTCAACACACTAAGTTTTTTTTAATCTTAGTGAAATGAATTTTAAATCCAAGTCTAAGAACTCTAAATAGTTTCTCTTTAATAAATAAGAAAAGAGCAACTAGAAGGTTGAATTTGGAGACTAAGAATACAATTGGATTTGAAATAAGGTTTTTAAATTAATCATAAAAATCCCTTAAGTGGAAAAAAGATTTGGTTTTGAATTCTTCTTTAAAAAATAAAAGAATCGGACTTTGAAGATTTGACACTAGAAGGACCAAAAATTATCAAAAATTACAATTAAAAGATAACACTTTACTTACTAATACAGAATGGACACAAAACATTTAATATTTGACATATTGAAGGATATTTGTGAACAGTGCCCAGAAGTTAATTGTAAGAATGTCTGACATTATTGATAGTTTGCCTTTAAAAGATTTTATCATAGAGGAACAAGTTTTATCAGATAACACTAAAAGTGACCTAAGAGTGAATTTATAAAAAAAAAAGACTACAAGAAAGATAAAGAAAAAATGCTGTACTAGTTCGACAAATTAACCTGGCTGATGTCTTAATAATTGAACAGAATTATTAAGACATCAGAATAAGAAACAAAAATCTGGATAATATTGGATTTACAAAAGAGACTTGTTAAAATTTTAAAGACTGTTGTAAGAAGGAAAAAAAGGGGGAAAAAGGAAAAGAAATCAAATTCCCAGACATTATTTGAACGGATTAGGGATCAAGATTATTATAAATAAAATGAAGAAATATAAAGTTGATTTATTTGATCAAGATTAAAATAGATATGTTGTTATCTCTGATAATCCTTAATAGACTTTTTGCTCACAAGGACTGAATGATCTTTTAAGAATTAATTTATAGATAAAGGATGAAATATGGGAAGAGATCATTTGTTGCATTTTAAGAGAAGGTAATAAGTTACCAAAAAAATTTAATACTTGTGGTGAAGGGAAAATCATTTTGATATATTTTTCTTTTTTAAAGTTTTCTTTAATGTTTTATTTTACAAAGATTATAGTAATATTTAATAAAATTACTATTAAAATTATGAATGTGTTGATCCTGTCATGACAGCAATGACAGGTGTTTCTGCTCTTGGGAATGCAATAGTGATTGATATGTTTGATTCCATTATTATTCCTGTTAACTTTGACATTCCTAAGGGATCATTCTTGCTTCATTGCAAGCAAGGGAGCAGTGGCCTCTTTTATGGTGCTTGTTCAAGGGAGATTATGTTTCTTTCATTCTTTTTCCTCCTGTCTCATTCCTGTTCCTTCCCTGTCTTCTCCAAGCAACAGACAGCTTTCCAGTGTTACACATTCTATCAAGCTACTGGGGCCTGGAATTTGACAGCTTCCTGATAAGAGGCCTGCAATTCTCTTTATCTCTCCTGTGTGAATTAGCTTTGCTTTAACACCTTTGTCATATGCTCCCCCACCAATGCCCCCCTTTCCTGACACCCCCAGTCAAAGGGGAAGCTGACAGATAAAAAATCTTCTCTGGGGCTAGGATTCTAATTAAACACCTCACCTGCCTGTAGCATATTCCCGCCTGGAATTCAGGATTAGTTTAACCCTGGCATAAATGCTTCTAGGTCCTTTTCTTTCTTTTTTTATTCTCTACATTTGCCTCATCTACAGCCTTGTCATATGGGGCAGCAAGCTCTTTAATACTGGGAAACTGAACAAATGTAAGTAAGACAGATTTCCAGTTACTTAAATTCATTTAAAAACTGTTCATTTCCAAAAAAGAGAAGCAAGTCAACAAACCCAATTATACTTTTTTCTGGAAAGAAAAGATGGCATGGTGATATGTAACAGCCTGCTGTGGCGGCAAGAAAAGGGCAACTATGATCAATGGTCAGAAGAAATAAATGGCCCACACTCAGTGGTTTATGTTCCCATTCCTGGGTAATCTCTCAATTGTTAAATGGTGATTCAGTTTCTTAGGCAACCCTGTACTAAACTGAGTTCATTTTTCTTTTTGCTTCGGGCAAACTGTAACAATATCAATTCCTTCCCTAATTTTTAACAGAATAGTGAAAAGGACACACAAGTCTTATACAGTAACGTAACTTCTTCTACTGCATCATTTATGAACGTCTTATTATTTACAATCTCTCAAGTTGTTTTGGTAGCTGATAAAGACACATAATTCACCAGTGACTATACAAGGAAATTTATAAGTTTGTTATAAATGAAGAAAAGCAGTGATTGACTGATTCTTAGAGGAATTAGTTATTTAATTATTTTGCCCTTTATCTATATATTGAATTGAATTTTGAATTGAATTTNATTCATTA